ACATGTTCAACAATGGGTACCCGCGTGTTACCCGTTAATACCCGTTTGGGTATTACGGGTACCCGTACTACCCGCTCCCCTTATAATTGATAAACTACTAAATAAATTAACACAAGAAACACAAGATATGGAGAGCGACAATGCAACATAGAAATTAAACAGAAAAGGAAGCAAACCAATAATTGTTCTCTTAGTACAGAAACAAACCAATAAAGAAAAATCTTGTAGCTCCAAACAATAATTTAAGGTTAGGTACGTAATTGGTTGACAACAATTAACAATATCCACAATTCCACACACATCATTGCTTGCACCAGTAGGTTACGGTTCAGGTTTTTGTTTCCGGGAAAAGAAGTATCTAACTAAATCAGATTCTAGAGCGATCCGTAGTAAACTTGGACGAATCTTTCCTCGATGACATCAAAGTCTTTGACGCTAAACTCGGTGGTGAGAATGGAGAGGCCGGACATGTTGGAATATTCGAAGTGCAGAACCGAGAGAAGAGATCATCGTTCACGAAGTACCTCAACTTTCCCCCGCTTTACGACACCATCCCATGTGTCTGTAAACCTCAACTCAATGTTGGCAAATGACACGGCTCCTTCTACGGGTACCCGCGGGTACCCGTTATCCGTCCCGTACGGGTAATGGGTACTCGTTAACCGTACGGGTTTGGGATATGGGATGGGGTTTACTCTCCAAATGGGAATGGGTACCCGTTTTAAACGGGACGGGTACCCAGTCCCGTCCCGTTGCCCACCCCTAGGATTGGGCCATCCCTTACATTCCAAACAACTGTAGGTTTGATTCGTTCCGATAAACCGGATCTCGTGTTTTTTTCGGAGACATGATCGAGCCGGCGTGTCGCTTCTTGCCGTATGCGGGGTTTATGTTTTGATCTTTCCAATTGTTTCTTTGTGGATGCGATTGACGCGTCCGGAGGTTTAGTTGTAGCTTGGTCCCCCGAGGTTGATGCTTTGGTGTTTTATCATTCCAACTTTTGTATTTGTGTTCAAGTTAATGAAGGAGATGTTGTTTATGTGGTGGTGTGTGTTTACATTAGTTGTAATGATGCCACCAGGGCTTCCCAATTGGCCCATCTTATTGATGTTTGTGCGGCCATTCAGAGCCCTTATGTCGTCATTGGTGATCTTAACGCTATTCTTCATGAAAATGAGAAAGAGGGAGGGAATCCTTGGAATGCCGCTCAGTCTGCTAGTCTGCGTGACTTCATCCTCCACCTGGGTCTGCATGATCTAGCCTATCAAGGTGATCAGTTTACGTGGACAAACAAGCGAATGGGTGCAGCTTGTATTCGCGAACGCCTCGATAGAGCGTTGTGTTCGCAAGCCTGGATTGATCACTACCCTGATACTCTGGTTAAACATTTTACAGACCAAGGTTCTGATCATCGGGCTCTCCTCCTCTCTGATAAGCCCTATACTCGTCACTGCCGTCCTCTCTTCCGCTTTGATGTCCGCTGGGCGGATAACCCCGAAGTGAGGGCCATGGTTCATTACATCTGGCAGGAGGATTTCCAAGGGACTCCCATGTTTCGGTTATGGGAATGCCTCAAAAAACTCCGTCATTTGTTATATGATTGGAGTAGGGAGGGCACCACTAATTCCCCCTGGAATATAAATATTCTCCAGAATGAAATTGAAACTATTAAACGTTCACATCCAATTGACTAGGATACAATCCGGAGGCTGGAAAGTGAGTTGAGTCGACAATGGGAAGCGGAGGAGCTCTATTGGCAGCAGAAGTCTAGGGTCCACTGGTTAAAGAAGGGGGACCAAAATACCTCTTATTTTCATACAGTGACTCGGACGCGCCGTAAGAAGAATTTTGTAGCCGGGCTTCATAATGACGAAGGCGTATGGATCACGGATGAGCCTGGCAAAGCTGGCATTGCAACCACGTTCTATCAAGAGCTCTTCACCTCGGAGAATCATATCGTTAATATGGCTGAGCGTGTGGCAGGATTGCCGATCGACCACAAGGTCACCCCAGAAATGAATGCCAGACTCACGATGGCTGTTCTCCCTACCGAAGTTCGCAAAACTATTTTTGCCATGAGATCGAAGCAGGCTCCTGGGTCAGACGGGTTTACGGGAAATTCTTCAAATCTTTCTGGGATATCGTGGGTGATTCGGTGGTGGAGGCGGTTTGTTATTTCTTTGAGACTAGCAGGATGCTCCGTAGTTTCAACCATACTTGGCTCACTCTGATCCCCAAAGTTGACTCTGTGGAGAATATGCGACAGTTGCGGCCTATCAGTCTGTGCCAGTTGCGGCCTATCGTTTTCTTGGAAAAAATGGGGTTTAACTCTACATGGTGTGGATGGGTACACGAATGCCTTCGATCCGCGTCTTTCTCAGTTTTAATGAATGGCACCCCTTCGGGTTACTTTACCTCCTCCAGAGGCCTTTGCCAAGGGGATTCTCTTTCCCCGCTCTTGTTTGTGCTTTGTACGGAGGGATTTGCGGCCCTTCTTCGGAAGGCGATCGTTGAAGATAAGCTTGGAGGAATCAAGGTTGCTCCCATGGCCCCTAGGATCTCGCATCTGTTCTTTGCCGATGATTCGTAGTTATTCTTGCGGGGGTCTCTTCAGGAGTGCGAGAACTTAATCGTGGTCCTGAATGAGTATGAGGAGCTCAGTGGCCAGCGAGTGAATTTGGCAAAGTCGGCAGTTTGTTTTAGTAGAAACATTGTTTTGCCAGACCAAGAATTCCTGGCTGCGGTTTTAGGAGTAGGGGCGGTTGGGGTTCATAATAAATATTTGGGCTTGCCCACGTTGATTGCTCGGTCTAAGATGGAGACCTTCCAGTACTTGGAGGAGAAGCTAATTGATCGCCTCCAAGGGTGGAAACGGAGAACGTTATCCTGGGCGGCTAAGGAAACCCTCATTAAGTCCATTGCCCTGGCACTACCGTTGCATGTGATGTCCTGCTTCAGATTGCCTCTATCACTTTGTCGGTTACTAGATAAGCATGTGGCTCGGTTCTGGTGGGGCGCTGAGGAGGGCCAGTGGAAAATTCGATGGATGTCCTGGAGGAATATGAGCAGAAGTAAGCACGATGGAGGAATGGGATTTCGCCGGTTTGAACATTTTAATCAAGCTCTCTTGGCTAAAATTGGTTGGGGCCTCCTTCACGAACCCCAGTCCCTCCTAGCCTAGGTTTATAAAGGGAAATATTTCCCGAATGACTCTTTCCTCTCGGCTACGGCGCTATCTCGACCCTCGTGGGGGTGGCAGAGTATTCTGTATGGCCGTCAATTATTAGAAGCTGGACTTCGATGGCAAATTGGTAATGGGCAGTCTGCCTCCCTGTTGCATTCTAATTGGATTCCCCAATTACAACTTGATCCTCCTCGGTACAATCCCCAGGTCCTACCCGTTGGAGGGGATCCGGTCGTGGCGGCGGTGATTAGTCCGGACGGGGGTGGATGGTGTGATCGGAAGTTGAGTCAATGGTTCGACCCTCTTACTTGTGAGGCCATCAAAGCCATCCCCCTTCCGCGATTGCCGATGGAGGATAAGCTGATTTGGCATAATACTCCGGATGGTATTTTCACTGTGAAGTCGGCCTATCATTTAGCCGTCACCCTTGATAGAAGGAAGGGCTGTTGGAGGACTGAGGTTAGTTGGATGGACAAGGCAAGTTGGATCAGGGTTTGGGATGCTAATTTGCCTCCTAAGTTGAAAGTTTTTGTGTGGCAAATTCTAAATCGTATGCTTCCTACGACGGAAGCCCTCATTGCCAAAGAGGTCCCGGTCTCACCTCGGGGTCCTGTGTGCTGGGCTGAGTCTGAAACCTTGGAACATCTTTTCCTCTATTGCCCGGTGGCTAGGGCGCTCTGGGACTATTCGGGGCTCGCTTCTCTAGGCGAAGGGTTGCCTCAGCATACCTTTCCCCTGTTTTTGAAGCAGTTAATGTCCCTGATTACTCAACCATCCGTTCTCATGGCGATTGTTGGGGTCCTTTGGCGAATCTGGCGGTCTCGGAATTGGGTTGTCTTTGAAGGTAAGCAGTTTGGGATCCCTGCTCTGATGCGTCAGTACAACCATCAATATGAAGAATGGGTTGGGTTGCCTGTGGATCGGATTATGATCCCCCTTGTCCTTCCCGCACATCAACCGGTTCCGGTGGAGGTTGATAGGTTGGTTTGCATGTGGGATGGGGCTACGAGGAGGGGGTCCCACTCAACTGGGGGGATTTTTTTTATGACCCCGTCTTCAGGGGTCCTTATGGCTGGTGGGGTCCAGTTCCCGGGCATTGATGATCCCATGGTGATAGAGGTGTTGGTGTTCCGTGAAGCTATCGTGTGGGCCCTGAATCGGGGTATCGTGGAGGTGTGTTTTGAGGGGGATGCTAAGGTCATTATTGACAAAATCAACCAGGCAGATGCTAGTGATAGTCGGATTGGTGCGATTCTTGCTGAAATTATTCATCACTTGGCGGCTCACTCAGGGTTTAGTGTTAGATTTGTAGGTCGGCGTAGCAATAGGGTAGCCCACTTGGTGGCTCGTAAGGCCCTCTCTTTGTACCCGACTACAAGTCGTTTCTTTGATTTTCAGACCTGGCTGATCTCCAGGATGTAACTATCTCTTGTTTCGATCAATGAAACTTATCTTTTGTCAAAAAAAAAAAAAAAGATTTCATCTCGAGAAGAACCAAAACTTGAACTAGAGGAGAAAGTCGAAGAAGAGGCAGGAGAAGTAAAAGGATATATTCTTGTTGATGTTGAAGATTTGAGTGCCCAAGAAGTTGAACAATTTAATGAGAAACCAGAATTCAAAGGAGGATATCAATGCTTGGTAATTATGGAAAGTATGATCGTATTGTTTTTGTGATTGGTAATACAATTTCTGAAGAGATAGCCCGCTTGGAGAATCGACAAGAAATTCAGTACTCTGTAGAGAGCTTTCATCACAATGGTGTCTTTACAACTCGTGGTCGACTTGTCTTCAAGAAGGGGGGGATAATACGATCCTCACTACCAAGACAATTTTGTTGGAAGACCAAGACGAATGGAGGTGATCAGAGATCAAGATTCTGTAAAGATTCGAGGTCGAATCTTCTTCAAGAGAGAGGGAATGATGTGATATCGACTAGCACGGTATTTAACTCCCGTGGTCCAAAAATGAAGATTCGAATTGAAAGATATAAGGATCAATTGGGAGCATTTTTAATGGATAAGTGGACGATTATAGCTGCTGCTCGTTATGCCACTCACGTGATGGTGCATAAGAGAATTAATGCTGGGAACGAGTTCATTAATAGTTGGTGTACATGTGGCATGTGAGGGTTCTCTTCGGATTTGGATCACATCAAATCTTTCTACCAAAACAAAACAGAAACGAGAGGAGGAAACGGGTAACAGGGAAGACGAGGAGGAAAAATTGGTTGAAGGAAGGCGTAAAGGCTGCAGGGGCAGTTACCACAGAGAAGCTGGCGAATCCAATCCGATTGAAACCTGGGAGTTCACTGGGTCTTCTAAACATCCAATGACCAGTCACCATTTTCCTTCCGATACACGGCAACGCTGGTGGTCGCTTCTTCCTTGCCATATCTCACCTTCAACTGGAACGCTTGTCCAATTTTCAAAGACAAACCCGAAATCTCGAATACAACAAACTTCCCATTGCCATTCACAACACTTGTCCTCACAGTACTTGGCTTCATCTTCCTTCCCCCCTCCATTTTCGTGCCTCCCAAAGACATCCCCTTCTGACTATTGTCCATTCCCAAGATCGTCACTTTGTTTACAACCCACTTCTTGCTCATTGCAAACTCTCCATTCTCTATCTCCGATCCAACGATAACCATGTCTCCAACTTTGCGAGCATGAAACTTTACCAAGCTCCACCTCTCACCTTCACCGCCGCCCATTTCCACGCTCTCCCCATCGTCCAAGAAAACTTGTCCAAAGCTGTGGCTTTGGTTACTCTCACTGACTACAACAAGGAGATGGAATCCCGTCTCTCGAGCTTTCTCTGTTGTCATGGCTTCTCCTTGTAAAGCCACGATGCTTCCTTCCTGAACATGAACGTTAATGTGGTCTGCTGGAGTAGGCAGGTTTATGCACTCTCCTTTCTCCGGTGCAGTTACTGAATTGGAGAAATTGAAGAGATCAAACCAGTTGCCTGCTGGGAAGTAGGCATCGACTGAGATAGCACCAGGCTTCAACGCAGGGGATACCATTATGCTGTCGCCGAGTAGGAACTGCGAGCTGATGTCGTAAGTTTGAATGTCTTGAGGGAAGGAGAAGAAGAGAGGGCGTGCTATGGGGGTTCCTTTGGTGTGTGCCTCATACATAAGGGTGTAAAAGTGAGGAAGTAACTGGTAGCGCAGCCCGAGCACTTTCTTGGCTGTCGCAGCTACTGAATCCCAGAGATAGAGTTCTTGTCGTGTTGTGTCTATGGCAGAATGGTCTCTTGCAAATGGGTAGAAAGCGCCTAGCTGCAAAGAATGTTTGTTTGAACTTTAAGTCAAACCCAATTTTTAGCTCAAACAAGCACATTCATAATTGTGACCGAATTGTTCTAAATGAGAGGTCAGAACAACATTTTCACCTGAATCCAACGCCGGCAAAGCTCTTCGGTTGTGTTCCGAGCAAACCCACAAATGTCTGCACCAACCATTGGAAGTCCTAAGAGTCCAGAGTTAAGAATCGACGGAATGGAGTAAGCCAAATCATCCCATGTGGCGGCATTATCCCCGGTCCAATGTGCTGTGTACTTCCCAGAACCCACAAATGTGGACCTAGAAAGTATGAACGGCCTCTTTGCAGTCAAACTAACCAAAGCTGCATTGGTGGCTTTCGATTCCAACATCCCATACATGTTATGAACGTTGTACTCTGCAACATCGCCGTGATGGAGAGCTGTCGGCGGCAGTGTGTTGTTCTCAATGGGCCGTCTCACTCCAGCATCATTAATCTTGTATGGAGGATCATCGAAGGGTGAGAATTGATTGGGAGTGGGAGAAGTGGTGTTGAAATTGGATGCTTCGTTCATGTCAAGCCATATGCCATCGAAGGGAAGAATCTCTCGAAACATCTTGATCTCATTGCCCCAAAATTCTGCAGTTGCTGGATTGAGAAAGTCAGGGAAGTAGACTGGTCCAGGCCAAACCACGCCCTCGTAAGGAGACCCATTGTGTTTGACGAAAATGTCAGCCTTCATTCCTCTTGTATAAGTTGCATATGACGAGTTTATGCTGATACCTGCAAGAACCAACACGAATGAATCATCCAGATGAAACAATTCTTCAGCTTGAAAACAAAGCTGCTAAGTGTCGATATCATGATTTTTTAACATACCAGGATCCAAGATGAGGACATATTTCTGACCATTTTGGTGTAAACTTGCAAGAAACTTATCCATCTCAGTAGGTGGGAAATTGACGGGATCAAGAGTAAAATCCTTGTATGCATCCATGTAATCAATATCGGTCCACATTACTTCCAGGGGTATACCAGCGTTTGCATAACCAGCAACTACCCCTTTAAGATCCGAAACGTTTCTGTAGCCCCATCGGCATTGATGAAACCCTTAACAGATGAAAACAACCAACGAATTAATGAGCAAGGGGAAAAAAGGACTTCCCAAAATTTTTGTGTAAATCTAGTGATTTGCTTACCGAAAGACCAGTATGGCATAGGAGCCGGCCTGCCAACGAGCTCTGTGTACTGCTCCAGTACCAAATTTGGTGTTGGCCCAGCAAAAATGTACAGGTCAATGACTCCACCAATAACCTTGTAAGTAACTCTATCACCGTCATAAGTTACATCCATGCCGTTGCTGTTAAGCAACAGAACTCCATGAGTTGTGCCGGCTTTCACCTTACCGTCAGGGGATGCTGACCGAACGTCCATGTAAAAGGGGTGAGACCCGTAGAGATTGACATCAGGATTGAAGCTAGCAATGTCGGCGTTCCACAATGTGAGTGTTTCATTAGGCACCAGCTTGAATGACTTCTTTGTGTGCTCTCCCAAACCATAAAGTGAAGCCCTTTTCTCGCCGGGAAGTGAAGAAGTGAGTTGGATAAACTGGTCCTTGAATACCAGGAACGTCTCCGGATCCGATGGGTTCGGGTAGGCATCGAAAATGGCGTCCCCCGAGGTACGGCGAGACACGGTGAAGCCGAATGGAGTAGCGTTGAGGAGTGTGAAGGTGAGGTCTGAGTTCGGGACTGATAAAACGAGGCCTTGTTGCTCGGAATGGTGATGGGCTAAGTTCGAGTCCAAGGTGTTATTTTGACGTGGGATGATTTCTTGAGGGATCTCCCATCTCTTGTGTTTGGCATCTGTGATACGTATCCGCAGGCGATCCTCCGTCTCGAAGCTATGCACATACAAGAAAGCAGAGAAGAAACATGCAAAAGACTTAGAATCTCTGAAACAAACAGAAACTCGGCTAGGCATTAACACAAACAGTTGGTCGACAAACTTCTGCATACCTGACAGTGAGTGTAAGTCTCTCGATGTCAGGACCAAAAACTGAAGACTGGTTGATCAGCTTCAGGTCGACGACGAAGGAGTTGCCGGCCGAGGGATCGATTCCGGCTGATATAACTCTGTACCCGTGGCCAATCGGGTCGGCTAGTTCCCCATTCAATGGGTATAAGCAGAAAAGCAGAACGCAGAACAACAGTAGAAGAGGGTGACGGTACTGAAATGGGTTCAGCTCCTGATTCCCACTCTTCTTCTCCATAATCAGGATTTGTGGTAGGGGATACTCTGTAGTCGGGCATTTATGTCGAAATCAAGGCGAACTAGGAGACGTAACGCAGTATCTTGGTGCCATGTCGATGTCACGTCTCCATAATCCATGGCCTCCTCTGCTGTATATCCTCCGAACCGATTTGTCGCACTCGATCTCTGGCAGAAAGGGCCATGATTGGGGACCGAAAGAAAATCCTCGTTTCGGGTGCTGCGGTTTGTCGCCGCCCTCCATGTTTGGAGTGAGAGGTTATCGCAGCCGGCCATGGGACAATGGTGGGCCTCCAGTTGAGACTGCGCCATTTTGTCCATTAGCTTTCACTTCAGCTATCCAGAATCGCCGGACCAGCAGAAGAGAATATCATTTCTCAACCCAGAAATGACAAAGAAAACGAAACAGGCATGGACTCCAATCCATAGATCGATTCCCACTGTGGTTACGGTCTTTGAATGAATCGCCTAGGAGTTTGAGACACGGCGCGGCGCTGCGGCGCCATGTTTGGATGCGTAATTAAATATATTTTTTCTCCAGTTTTGAGGATTCGCTCGGCCTTTTTTCATCCGGATTTTTCCAGAAATAGCACTATTTAGAAAATAAATTACCAAAATAGCATCCAGCCGAAAATATTTACAAAAATAGCACCCGCACTTCCAAAGTGCGTTTTACATATAAACCGCATCTCTAAGGTACGGTTTATTATCCTAGGCCAAAACCGCATCTTGGCCAAGCGGTTTTAGGTCTGACCTACAAAAACCGCTTGGTCGAGGTGCGGTTTTGGACTGACCTAGCAAAACCGCACCCCCCAAGTGCGGTTTGTGTGTCAATTATTTTCCGTCACCAGACAAGCAGCCATGCAGATTCACAGACGTGGGCCTGCATGGCAGATGAAAAACGCACCTCTAAGGTGCGGTTTTCATTGATGATTTTGCCTATAAAAAGCAGCCGACAAATCTTTTTCTCTTCACACCTCTTCTTCTCTCTTTTCAATTTTCTATTGTAGCTCCATATTTCTCTAGTGTTTTTACGGTTAACGTTAACTCGTAAGTTTTTTTGTATTACTTTTTATTGTGAATTGTGATTTTTATGATATTAGTTGAACTATTGTTTTTTTTTTTTTTTTTTTTTTGCAGATGGCATTCCAAAAGTTCACGCTTGGGTTACGATGGAATGGTTACACGGAAGAGAGCGGAAAGGGGGTCACCTACGTCGTGGCAATTTTCACAAAATAAAGGTCGCTACCAGACCGATGCTTGAAGACCTCTATCAAATGTGTACTAACGTTACTTGCATGGATGGCACGAGAAGAGTTGATTGTATGGTGTACCGATATCCAAACAGAGAAGGCGGGTCGTTGTGGCACGAGGAATATCTCATAACCACTCAGGATGAGGTAGATGCCATGCTCGAATTCTTGAGGTCCAACAAACTTTCTAAAGCCGAGATGTTCGTTTACACCGAGTCAGTCGTAGGTGTTGGAGGTCATTCTGGAGACGGTCAAACATCTTATAATCGCTTAAAACCCCATTTCCTTTGACGTGCATCTCTTTATAAAGAGTCGAAGTAAGTGCCGCTATGTATTCGATTAAATTATGGAAAACAACCAATACGATTAAATTATTTCAAATTTATTTTGTATTCCACTAAGTACATTAGAAAAATAAAAGAAAGATAAATGATGAAGAATTGTATGTACCAGGTGATCGTTCCAAACATCCCTTGAACGATGGTTGGGTTGGTCATACAAGTCGATCATATCAATAGGCCCTTGATCCAAATAGTACCGTTGGTTGTATATATTCACGTCGTCCCCAACCTACGAGAGAATAACAACAAGGTTAGTACATATATTAATTAAAAAGCTTATAACAAAAACAAAAATTGACCAAAATAATGATTACGTACCGCTTGAAATTCATCATAATAAACTCCCTCTTCTTGGAACCACTCGTCCATTTTCTCGCGAAAGTCGGACAGAGATTCGGCATCGGACAGAAATTCGGCGGGCGGGTTTTGAGGGAAAAACCAAAGAAATGTTTTCTAATGGCAGATCGGACTTAGCCGCAACCAACAGACCACTATTACCTAGGCTTTTGGGAGGGGAGGGGAGGGGTTAGAGAGCTAATTCTAGTGACAGAGAGTGGAGAATGGTTGTGGTGTGAAAAAATGAGAGGGGGGAGGGGGTATTTATACCCATCAGACCGCACCCTCCAGGGCGGTCTGGTAATTTTGCCCCAGTCAAAACCGCACCTTCCCGGCGCGGTTTACGCTCTCCGAGGGTTGACCGCTCCCTAGCGCTGCGGTCTTCGATCCGTGACAATGATCGCTGACGTGGCGTGCGTTCTGCCCGCTAGAACGCCACCTGATCCTGCGGTCTCCAAGGCCGCTGCCCACCAAACACAGACCGCACCTTGGAGGTGCGGTTCTCAGTCTGACGTGGCGCAAAACGCACCGCCAAGGTGCGGTTTATACATAAAACGCACCTGGAGGCTGCGGTTTACTTATAAAACGCACCTTCGAGGTGCGGTCTATTAAAAATGGTGCTATTAGTGTAAATTTTTTCGGCTGGGTGCTAGTTTTGTAATTTTTTTAAAGGTGCTATTATTGAAAAAATCCCTTTTTCATCTGAATGGCTAAACATCGCCCTAGGTTTTTATTATCGCCCTATTTCAAAATAAAAAAATTACTAAATTACCCTCAATTAATTAAATTAAATTAAAAAACTCTTCTTATTCATTTTTGTTGACGGAAACAAACTGCTATCCAATACTTGCAGCCGCACTATTCGCCAATCCCGCTACCATTCTCCAACTTCAAATGCCCCTCCGCTACGGCCAGGGGCGGACCTAGGGCAAGGGGAGGGGTGTCGTCCGACACCCCTCCGCTCGAAAATTTTGTGAAAGACCTCCATTTTTTCGGTACAAAATTTTTTAATTTGGAACTTCCGACACCGCTCTAATAATTATAAGCGACACACTTTCATTATATGACAATAGTTTTAATGTTATAAAGTTATTCGTCATAATTAGTAATTAACAATAATGAGTAAAATCAAATAAGCATGCTTGTTTTAAGTAACCCACAACCCAATTTAACTTATTGATTTGTAGTTAATAGGTGAATTGCCTATATTTATGGGAGATTGTGGTTTGATTTTGGTTAATTTGATAGAACTAGAGAAAAAATGCTAATGATATTACTTAGGCATACTTTGTTTTTTCTAAAATAGCCGATTGGTAGCAAACTAATTTATTTTAATTTAATTTGATTTTAGAAGTAGGTTGATTCTCTTTAGTTGAGTGACTAATTTATGAATGATTATGTAGTTGTGTGTATCGAAAAAGGTTTGATTTGCAACATAAACGATGAATGTATTTTACAAAAATCTCAAATATGAAAAATCGTCATAATTCGTAGTAAACATGAGGTTCTGAACTTATAAATAAATTTCCAGTAATTTATATTAAATTTTTATTTCATTATCTTAATTTTTATCGGCGACACCCCTCTTCAATAATCCTGGGTCCGCCACTGGCTACGGTGCTTGCTTTCTTCACCCCAGTGCATTTTTTTAGAATAAAATCCCCACCACTGTAACCTCCCTGTTATGCATGTCACCTGAATCACCCCACCTCCGGAAATAAAATCCGAGTCGTGTCTTTCCCATCTCACTGCCCCCGAAATCAACTCCCAATCGGGTATATCCCTTCACCAAATCGCAGGAATCAACTCATGTGCCCCTTCTCCATGTTGTGATGAGCATGACGATAACATTGATGAAGACGGTTGACGGTGGGAATCGGCGACGGTCGGCGGTCGTTAGTGGGAATTAGTGACCGACGATGGGGCGAGGATAATGGCGGTGACGGTGATGGAAATGGGTTCAGTTTTTTACAGATGTATTTATTAGAATAAAATGTTTTCTAGAAATAAAATGGGAGAATGGTAAATAGATAATTTTAGTCGTTTAAATTAGAGCGATTATAATAAATCAGGGCGACATTTAGCAATCCCATTTTTCATTGGGCCTCAAAATTAGGGTTGTCAGTGAGCCAATACGTTCGTGAACTTCTGTCGAACTCGATAAAAACTCGTTCGATTCAATAAAAGCTCAATTTGTTTATTAACGAGCTGAGTTTGAGCTTAACCTTGTTCGGCTCGTGAAACTCGTGAACTAGCTCTATTAGGTAGCTTGTTGAGTTCAACTCATGAAGTATCTCATTTTGAGCTTATGAGATGTCTCAACCATGTAACTAGCGAGCCAACTTGATTATAGTTCATGAGAAAGTCGATCTATATCTTATAAGTTAGTTTGTTAATGATGCATATATTTATTAAATTGTACATCACACCTCATATCCTCATGTGATGTTTAATAATTTGAGTATGTGAGCAAATATGTCTCATATATGACATGAAGATTAGTTAATCACGTGTATCATTTGTGACATATAAATATAAGGGTATTTAATTCATAAATTATCTTAGAGTTGAGCTGGAGCCTAAATTTTGATAATAATGATAAGCCAAAATTCAATAAATGAGTTGACTCGTGTTCGACTCGACTCGGCTCGTTCATAAACGAGCCGAGCTTGAGTTCGACTCGTTTATAAATAAACCAAACCTGAACAAGGCAAACCTCGATTTAGCTCTGTTCATTAACAGTCCTACTGATGACTACATATTTACACATGTTTTACCCCTCATTCCTTGATTTTTTAGCTTGGTGTTTATCCTAATTTGGCCTATCTTATGCTAGGTTATGTTCCTTTGTCAAATTTCAGCTCCTAGCATGTAAAGTGAAGCCTAGGGGCAAGTTTCAAGTCAATCGGAGATCAATTGGCGACTCAGGGTGAGAAACTCGAGACTGACTTGAGCAATAATGGATTTCTAACTCATTTTATTGACAAAGAATCATGAAATCTTGTCATTAAAAGAAAGAGGACAAGACTACGAGCATCGAGGATCAAACGACACCTGAATCGGAGGTCAAACGAGCTCAAACGAGATCATCGAAGCTTAGGAGTGCATGCTGGAAATTGTGCACGACCGTGTGAAATTCTGCACGGCCGTGTGGGTTTCCCAGAGGGTTTGCACGGCCAAAAACTCAATTTTCACGGCCGTGCAAGTAGGGGGTGCGAGTTTCAGCGGGTATAAAAGCTGTTTTGCGATTTTTGGAGAGGAGGAGCTGGGTTTTGGATCCCAAACACCCAAGGGACGAACTAAAGAGAGAGAGGGTGATCTAGAGCCATTCTTGGAGCTAATTTGGAGGATTTCTTCACCAATGAAGCTCGAGAATCAAGCTTGGAGATGGAGATTGAAGATCTAGATCAGATTTCTGCAGTCTCTCTCTTCTCTATGGAGTAACTTCCCTTCACTTAGGTTTTGAGGAACCCTAGTTCCATATGTTAGGATCTTTCTTGTATGAAATTTTGGATGCTATATTGTGTGATTATAATCAATTGAGGCATGATTTATTGAGTCAATTGAATCCTGATCAAATTCTCTTGAATTCTGCTTTAACCTATGATAGATAGAATCTGATTAGGTTAAGAGAGCTTCCTTGATTGATAGTAGTGAATTGGTTGTGCGAGAGTCAGTCAATTCACTGCTTTGTACTAGAATTCATTCCAGTAGTGGATATCTGTGTGAATCGCCTTAGCAGTCTATCCCGGTGAAGGCTAGTCGCCTGCCGGGTATTCTGTCTAAGAGGGCTTGGTCAGCTTAAGAGATTCCAAGCTAATTTAGGATCTTCCGCAGTTTAATCAACAGTAAAACAACCAAAAGGAATTACAACTTGGACATAATTGAGGAGCTAGGGGGAATCATAACCAAGTGAGTTCCCAACCTGTAATTAGTAGTTTTACTTAGTTTAGTTAATCAATCCTTTATTTTATTTTGCTAGATAATGAACTGAAGCTGAGTAATAGTACATCTAGAGACCCGAGGATTCGATATTTATTACTTGCACCACTATACTGCAGTCCCTTTCATTGGTTACACTTGGCCATTGTTAGGTGTTGTGTCGTAGCGAGTCGCCTACTCAAAATCTCGGTATTGTTTTGTAGTTACCGAGTAGTCAAACCAAACTAAACCAAAAAAATTCATTTGTCTATGGCTCAGCAATTAAATGCTCCAAATTGGTGGGTTTTTTATGGGAATATGGGGATTGCTAAATCTCAGTTTATAAATTAGTGTTCTTTGTTACATCGTACCATTTTAGCAATGTCGATTACTGGGATTACTAAAAATGTTCAGGTTTGGTAACTAAAAATATTTAATTTCAATAATGATCACTAAATTAGTTTAACTGTACACGTTTGGCACTCTCCATTAGTCTCATTCCAATTCCGTTAATGAAGTTATTAATTGCTGATGTGACAAACGGAATCGCCTAACCAGCCGAATTTAACCAAGAAAACACTTAACCCAACCCACCACGTCATTTAAACCATAATCCAAGCCATGCCCCAATCCATGACCCATACAAATCGTCTGCCACAGCCTGAGACCACCACCACACTACCGCTGCTCCTCTTCCTTCTCCTCCTCAATCTGCTCTCATTTGTCGTCGGTGTCGACGACGACAACACCACCGCAGACTACACTCACTCAAGCTACAATGCCACGACGTACCTAGACGTCTGTTACACCTTCCTCTCCCGCTACTCCAATGTTGTATGACATAAAGACATATATGATACCTTAATTTGAGCTAAATTTATAATTAACCTTAATTTAATTCAAACTCATATCATCCATTATCAAAAGTTTTTTCTTACGAGTCATTCAAACTATCTCACAAAATAAATCATAATTTTGTTATGGTCGATCAAAAATATTATTAAGTACAGGAGATGCAAACCACATTAAAATCCTCGCATTGTGTAAAATAACGAGAATGACAATGAACAAAAGCACACGATAACGAGATTTACGCGGTTTCCCCGAATGTCGGGACTAGTCCATGGGAGATATGAACTCTCCAGTTGAGATATTATTAGGTTAAGTTCAAGTGGTGGCCAGCGGCCTTACATCATATATATACCCTTTATCTCATTCAACTAGGGTTTTATTGTTTGGACAAGCATACAACATACATGCATTAGATGGAGCTAGGTTTGCATGGTATGTATAAGAAGGCTTGGACGTGGATAGACTGGGTCTTTGTTGGGCCGAACCCATTATTCCCCCGCAAGCCGCAGCGTGGAGATCACGAACGCGCAGGTTGGATAACAGGAAATGAAAACTTTCAACTCCAAGGCCCTTGGTGAACATATCAGCAAGCTGTAACTGAGAGCTGATCTTGATCGGTGCAATCTCCCCAGACTGAACTCGCTCCCGAACAAAGTAACAATTCATCTCCACATGCTTAGTGCACTCATGGAAAACAGGGTTCGCCGTAATATGGAGTGTCGCCTGATTATCGCAATAGAGAGGTGTGGCGCCACGTGGAGGAGCACCAAGCTCGCGTAGGAGCCACGTGAGCCAGATCATTTCACTAATGGTATGTGCCATAGTACTCAGCCTCGGCTTAGGAACGAGCAACTACCTGATGTTTCTTCGTACGCCAAGATACCGGAACTCCTCCAAGAGTGATGACATAACCAATAGTGGAACGTCCCGTTGTCTGGAAACCGCCCCAATCTGCATCACAATATGCTGTAAGATAAAGTGAAATATGTGAAGGGAAGAATAAGCCCTGACCTGGAGCACTCTTGAGATAACGAAAGATCCTGTCTGCAGCATCCATACGAGCACGAGTAGTATCATTAACAAACTGATTGAGTATATTAACTTCATAGGTGATATATGGACGAATGATCGTTAAGTAGAGGAGTTGTCTTACCAGACGATGATAGGCGGCAGGATCGGGATGATCTACATACGCAGGTCGTGTAAGCTGGTGATTCTTCTCAACTAGAAAAGCACTAGATCGGCTGCCTGTTACACCAGCGTCGGCAAGATGTCAAATAGATACTTTCCAATGTAACTAATACAAAAAAAGTAATTAATATATTTCTTCTTTTTTGCATTCCCAAAATGCTCTTGGTTGTCAATCTGAAAACCCCCAAGGGGTTGTAACCATATCTAGCCCAATTTTAATTCATTCAAATCATAAATACTATCCACCATTCACTCTTTCCTCCCATTTTTGAAATTTTTATATCCACCATAAATAATCTTTTCGTTTATCTCAATAATGTTATTATCTCCATAACTGAATTCACTACCTAGCATACACTTCTTCTCCTACATTTCACTGAATGCAAAAATGTAATGGCAATATGCTTTGAATTATGAAACTTTGATTTCAGGAACTTACCTTTACCAATTACATGTCATGAACGTAGTCTGAGATTGATTGATCGTCTTAATCTTTCATTATTTTCAAAATTATGTACCCACTTATGAGGTTCGCGATATTGTAATAGGTGAGGTTGATCTGAAAATTTAACTTCATGCTCTCAGTGTGGATGCGATGAGGAGGTGAAGGTTCTCTCATTTTGTCAGTATCTTTGAGTAGTTTCTCAGTTACATTCCAAAAATCTAGCTCCCTCGCGATACAAACAAATAAAGTTAGATTAAACAATGTTGTCTACAACTTGTAGCTAGTCCAGAATCTATAAAATAACAATAATTTAGATAAACTATTTAGTCGTAAACTTTATGTTTTAGTGGGTACTTTATTTTTTCTCGAATGAATGCACTTGAAGTTGAAAACAACAAAAGAGTAGAGGTAGATTATTTCTTAATTCCTATTGTCTTTCGATATTGTTGTATAATTCTTATAATCAACAAAAAATCCAGGTTTTTATAGAGTCCAAGTTTTTATTAATCGTTATCGTTAAATCGTTAAAATAATATACGGAGGTTCCGCAGCGGAACCCATTCCATCCCTTTTTTCCTGCTTCTTGCGCATAGTACGGAAGGTTACTTTAGTCTATTTGCTTTTTTTATAATAACAAGGCAACCCTTTTTGCTTTCTTTTAACAAATTACAAATATCATGAATGACCAAAAATTCGGCTAACAAAAAAGGCCAAGTATTTCACCAGATTATTATATTGTTCTCCGAGACAATTCAAAGTTTAGGAATTGTAGGAAGACACATATCATTTTAATAATTAGTAGTATCTTTTTGCTGGTTTTGTATGGTGGATTTTAATTTAAAATTTAAATCTCTAAAGTCTAGAGATATAAAATCTCTCGTAATTATGAAGATTCTATATCTTGAGAGATTTTCACCTACTCTATCCATTCCTTTTCTTTTATCTATCCCGCGAAATACTCATAACAATAAATTCTTAATGTTTCTCAAGTCACTTTGATTTTTTTATTAAGGATAAGCATGTCATTTAATTAAAAAATAAAATTTCATTTTTCATTAAATGTTAACAATTTGCAGTTATCAAACAATGAATATTATAATATTTTTTTTCAACAATCCAAAGAGTTATGATTTTTGGATTGTTAAAAATCTAGAGATTTAGAGTCCGACTTTTCAAATGAGGTAAGTGTTCATTAAGTATGTATATTGCCAATTTTCTCTCAATGTGTACTTGCCACATTCTTTTTCTTTTGTTGCTTTATTCCCTAATAAAATAGTTTTGGAGTATGGGGTTGGAATAATTAATCAGATAAGTATTAAAAATTAATTAAATAGGGGCTAATATATTAGTAAGACTAAGACATGCCTGATTTTATTTTGGTTCAGGTTTTTATACAAAATTATGATATTTTAAGCATTTGAATAGTACACCATGTCAAAGGAAGAATTCTCAATGATGTGTCAAGTGCCTTGAATTTGGATAAACAAAAATTTTCAAGTGACAAAACATCTTCACTATAAAATCCTATGAAGAACTAAAGGGTTGTTTTTTTCATGGATTGTAAATTTAAATTTTAAAACTCGATTTATGTGTGTCATCCATTACTACAACATCCATGATAAAATCTAACAAACAAAACAAAATCATTATCACTTTGTAAATTCATAATGGACCATATCTATTATAAATGAAGGATATTGAAAAATCTATATTTTAACCTGAACTCTCAATTCTATATCCAGCAAACAAACGACCAATGGTCAATAAACATTAGTTGATAGTTACTCCACATTTTGAGAATCATCTATTAAATTATATTGTATAAGAAAATAAACATGAGCATCATGGTTGAGAAATCAAGGATAACTTTTTGCATATAGAGTTTATAAATTTACACCGCGTTAATGAGTAATGACAAAATAATTGAACAATCATAAGTGGCTACGATATATACTATAATTTTCAACATATACGTATAATAGAAATAAAGATTCGTTAATAATCAACGATTAAATGTATTCACTTAACAATATATATTGCTTATCACATCTCTTCTTTGCAGACGATCTAATCCTGTTTGGAGTGGCGTCTGTCATGCAGGTGCAGTCGATTAACGTTATCCTAGAGGAGTATGGAGTTGCATCGAGGCAGTAGGTTAGCAAAGCCAAGTCCCGTGTATACTTCTCCAGGAATGTCACTACTGAATTGGCGGCAGAGCTTAGTAATGGCCTGGATATTCCAAAAACGAAGAACTTGGGGAGATACCTAGGAGTACCGGTAATTCATGACCGGGTCTCTAAGGCAAAGTTCGTCGAGTTAATTGACAAGATCGACTCAAGGGTTGCGGGGTGGAAAGTCTCCACACTTTCACTAGCTGCTCGCATCACCCTGGCCCAAGCAGTCCTCTCCTCGCTGCCAGCGTACACTATGCAAACAACCCTCCTCCCAGCAAGTGTACGCGAGTATATCAACAAGAAACTGAGAGCTTTCATCTGGGGGAGTTCTGAGTCAGGAAGAAAGATACACTTGATTGATTGGCAAACGTTGTGTCGTCCGCGTGTGGAAGGCGGGTTGGGTATGAGGGACGCCACCAAAATGAATGATGCATTCATGCTCAAGCTGGCCTGGAGAATTTTTGTGGAACCAACCGAACTGTGGGCTAAAATTGTTCGCGCCAAGTACTTGAAGCGAAGAGTGGACGGGATGGTGCCGAGAACCACTGGTAGGTTGTCGAATATGTGGAGAGGGATTCTCCGGGTCCTTCATCTGATCCCCGAGGCAACGGTTTGGAATGTAAGAAGTGGCCAACATGTTAAATTTTGGATGGATAGATGGCTTCAAGACGGACCAACTCATGCCGATCTAGCACCGAACTTACCTACTGCAGCGAGAGAGCTTACGGTATCTGACATGATTATGAACGGGGCTTGTAATGTTAATTACCTCAGGGTGTTCCTTCCTGAAGAGGTTTTTCTGCAAATCTTGCTCCACGACATCCCATCTGGAATAGAGGAGGATGTCCCCACTTGGCGGTTCACCTCAATTGGAGCTTTTTCTGTTAAAACGGCTTATGGCTTACTGGACGATGAAGAGCAAATAGGAGGTGGACACCACAGCTGGAAGGTCATTTGGGTTTTGGAGACTACTGGGAAACCAACGAATCCGAACCTTATTCTGGATAGCCTTACATGACCGCCTGCTGACAAATGTGAAGAGGAAAAGGCGACATCTGGCAAACCTGGCGGTCTGCCCCATCTGTGGTGGTTGTGATGAATCAATTGCTCACATCCTGAGAGATTGCCCCTATGCTAGAGGGGCGTCGGCCGAACTTCTTGGTGACGAGCCAGACATCGTGTTCTTCCAGGAGGTTTCAAGTGCTATATCATGCATTACCTGGCGGGTAGAGGTAAAGCCCTCGATGCTACGCTCTTTGCAGTGATGTGTTGGCTGTTGTGGAAAACCTTGTTATAAACGCGCTGCTACGGATCGGGAAATCGCCGGAATCGACAAAGCAAGAATACGAAAGCGAGAATCCAAAACACGACACACGATTTACGTGGTTCACTAACACGATGTGTGTTAGCTACGTCCACGGGCGAGAGTGAGCCAATTTCACTATATCAAGGAGATTACAGATTACAGAGGAGTATGAGAAGTATTTATAGTACTTCTCCATGTGGGTCTAAACCTAATCCAATATGGCAAAGGAAACAGTTACAGACCAGGCCCAGAACCCGAACCCAAATAACATTGAGTCCATACACCTTGGGCGTTGCCCCCGCACCCCCCACCGAGGCGTTGCCCCTGGACCCCACTATCTGACCGGGCAGCGAGACCCCCGATTACCAGTCGTAGCGGCTGATAGTCCGATTCAAGTCACATCAACAAATCTCCACCTTGACTTGAATCCTCTTCCTCTGAAATCTCTGATGTACTCTGCTCCTTCTATCTCTCTCCCGCCATCAATGCCCCGCAGGGCGGAGTCACCCACTCAAGACATTCAGCAAGTCCAAGCAGTGTTGGAACTTGCCATGTGGAACCGGCTTCGTGAACATATCTGCAGGATTATCCGCGGTGCCAACCTTCTTCACCTTAATCCTCTTCTCTGTCCTCAAGAAATGATACCTCACATCAATGTGCTTAGTCCTCTCATGGTGGACTTGATCCTTGGCCAAGCATATTGCACTCAAACTGTCGCAATACACCACTGCCTGATCATGATGTAGACCAAGATCACCAACCAGTCCCTTCAACCATATTCCCTCCTTAGCAGCTTCTGTCAATGCCATATACTCTGCCTCAGTAGTAGACAATGTCACCCCCGACTGCAGAGTTGCCTTCCAGCTCACTACAGAACTCCCAAGAGTGAATACATAACCGGTCATCGATCTCCTCGTGTCAACATCTCCAGCATAGTCCGAGTCAGAATACCAGACACCAAGCACTCTGTATCACTTCCGAAGCTAATCCCCACATCAGGTGTACCCTTAAGGTACCGGAAGATCCTCTTCACATCCTGCCAATGCTCCTTCCCAGGTTGTATCATAAACCTGCTGACAACACTAACAGCAAGTGCAAGATCAGGTCTAGTGCATACCATAGCGTACATCAAGCTACCTACTGCACTAGCATATGGGACTCTCGACATGTAATCCTTCTCAGCCTCTGACTGTGGTGCATATGTTGAGGATATATGAACATTTGAAGCACTAGGAGTATTTAAGGGCTTTGCTGAAGACATGCCAAACCTCGACAGTATCTTCTGGATGTAGCTCTTCTGTGACAAGAAAAGCTTCTTCTTCGACCTGTCCCTGTAAATCTCCATACCCAAGATCTTCTGAGCAGCTCCCAAATCCTTCATCTCAAACTCAGCACTGAGAAGCCCCTTTAACTTCTGGATATCAGACTTCGACCTCGCAGCTATGAGCATATCATCCACATACAGAACTAGATATATCATCGAACCATCTTCTGCCTTGTTGTGATACACACAACAATCATATGGACTTCTACTATAGCCCAGCTCAAGCATGTAACTGTCAAATCTCTTGTACCACTGCCTCGGAGATTGCTTAAGTCCATACAAGGACTTCTTCAGCTTACAAACATAGTCTTCTTTTCCCGGAACCTCGAATCCTTCTGGCTGAGTCATGTAAATTTCTTCCTCCAACTCACCATGTAGGAAAGCTGTCTTCACGTCTAGCTGCTCGAGCTCCAAGTCATAATGTGCCACTATTGCTAGTAGCACTCTGATCGAAGTA